TGATATAATCTTTGACATGGGTCTAACACAGGTCAGTGCTCTGCCTACCAGATTGCTGTTTCTAAACACACAATTCAGAGACCTTTTTATGGCATTCAAATCCTCAGAGAACCTCGCCCAACTCAATTCTCCCTGTAAGCTAGAGCTGTGCTGCTGGAGATCATTGACCACATCCCTCAAGTAGCAAAGAGTGCTGAGGATGCAGAGTTTGGTATCCGTTGTACTAGGATTTTATCAAGGCCAAAGAAAGAAAGAGTCAAGGTACAGGATTGGGAACAAAATCTATGGTCTCTGTATTCCCTTGGTGGTATGAGTGTATGTATCATGCGTTGTGCAGGGGTGTGTATATCTACTGTATATTTGAAAGAACTTCTGTGTGTCTGTTAAAAACTCCCCCTAAACAGCAAGAGCTAGGACTACCAAATTTGGTATGCAACTCCCTGATATCATAACTTGAAGCAAGGTCAAGGTTTGGTTGTGCCTGGACAATGGGATGTGCCTGGAATCTGTGTCTTATCAAACAGAAAGGAAGGGCTGTGATAGCAGGGGCAGTAATTCTCCATAATGACTACCAGGGGGCAGCAAGCACCTCAGCCCTGGGGAGCAAGCGCCAGTCCATCAGAGAGGGCCCCTACTGCCCTGGGCCGGCCTCAAGGAGTGGCTGCTGGCCGCTCCCACAGCCTATACTGAGCCAGGGCACTCCCCCTGACTTGACTTAATACACCCCCCACACACCATATCCCCTGCTCTGACTTATGCAACCCCTACACCCAGCCCTGAGACCCTTCTCACATGCCAACCCCCTGCCCTGACTCCTGCACCTTTCCACCCTCTGCCCTAAGCTCCTCCTCACCTGACTGCCCCACATCTCCAGGCCTCAATATCTTGAGAAATGCTATGTAAATATTTTATATATCTATATCTTCTTCTATCTATTAATATTAGAGTGTGCCTGGCTGTGAGTCCATCTGTCTGTGCATCTGAGAGTCCCTTTGTTCAAGAACTTCTCTGAAACTATAAGAGCTAGGACCACCAAGCTTGGTATGCGGATTCCTCTTATCACTTAAATTGAAGTCAGGATTTGGTTGTGTACAGAAAGTGGGAAGTGCCAGGAATGGGACTGTTTTCCATAACATGGAAAGGGAGGGAGCAGAGAAAGGAGGGATGCAAAATGGAGGGGCCAGAGAGAGGAGGGATGCGATACTGAGAGTGGCCACTGGGGGCAGATGCATCACTAAGAGTTTGGCCAGCAGGGTTGGGGCGTGACCATCTTGCCTGCCTCCAGATAGAGCCTCTACCCCATACCTGGTCCCCCCAGAGAGCCTGCAGGCTGCAGGGGAGGCAACTGGGTGGGCCCGTTGGCAGGGGAATGCTACCCCGGCCTTCCGGGAGGAGTTGTCGCTAGAACAGTGCTACACTCAGCCCCAGGAATCCCCCCCACACACCTTCCAGCCCCGTCCTGAGTCCCCTGCTCTGAGTCCTGCACCTCCCACCTGCCTTGACTTCTGCACACACACACCCACACTGAGCCCCACACCTCCCTGCCCTGAGTCCCCCCCCACTTTCCAACCTTCTGCCCTAAGCCACCCACCCCTGCCTCTCCTTACCCCCAAATCCACATTCCAGCCTTCATATGACTAATGAAGGCCCATCTGCACTTGAAGGGACCCAAGAAGATCTGAAGAAGTGGTTTTGTCCACGAAAGCTCATGATACTAGATATATTTTTGTTAGTCCCTAAGGTGCCACAGGACATCTAGTTGTTTTTAAAGTTACAGACGAATACCCTCTGAGACCCAGAAGATTGACTTCATTTCTGAGAAAACAGTAGCACAACATGCTCAGAGGAAGAAAAAAAAAAAAACAGTAGAAAACATGGTTACGACTCTCAAGCCAGATTGTTTCCAGTAGGTTTGCCTAATGCTTTATTACTGGAAGCATTTCCACGCAGCATTATCATTTCCTGAGATTTTCCTGTTTGTTGTGTTAGAAAAAATCTCTGCAACCTTGCCCCAAAGGATGCCTGCAAAGGAAGTTCTGCTTTTCTATTCTCCTCAATGAGTTTGAGAGAAGTAGGTCAAGTCCAGAAAGCTCCACTCTCTAAGTCAGGCTCAAGAAATCCCAATGCATAATCCAACACTCAAGACTGCCCAAGAGAGAGTGCAACATGCCCTCTATGTTATTCACTAAGCACCGACAGCATGCTCAGTGCTGCAGAAGACAAAATGAGACAGTCTATGCCCCAATAAGCCGGAATGCCCTGGAAAGCTGCAAAAACGGAACATCTCAAGACGGATCTGAATGGGGACTATACTAGGGATGTTAACTAATGGGTATGTGTGTAAACGTGTAACCGCTGGATATTTTTAGTGGTTACATGTTTACATGGGAGAAGGGAGGAGCAGGTGGTCATCTCCCCATGAGCACCAGCTTCCCTCCTGCCCCTCTGCGGAAGGTGGGGAATGGGGACAGGTAGTTCTGCAGAAGCTGGCACGCATGGAAAGCCAGTTTAAAAGCCATCTCCTCGTATGTACTGGCTCCCGCCTGTTCCCTCCACTCCTGTGCTGCTGCCTCTGTGGGAAGTAGGTGGCTTGGCGGAAGCCGGTGCTCATGGGGAGCCGGTTTAAAAGCCGGCTCCCCACACGTACCAGCTCCCAACTCCATCACTCCTGAAACCTCTACTACAGAGGCAGCAAGGGGAGGGGTGGGCATAGTCATAAGAGTTAACCAATAAACCCAGACTTATTGGTTAATCATGTAAATGACTCCACTCTAACATCCCTAAATTATACCCCAACATAAAGCATATCTGCTTATTGAAACAATGGCCTGCACTTCTAAACCACCCTGTGCCTCATCTTTTCATGCCACTTTTCCAAGCAGTTAGCACTACATGTACCGGTTCCATGGAGGAAAACTGAGGCAGACAAAGGCCTGGGATCATGCAGTAAGTGAGCAGCAGAGCTAGAAACATATCAAAATTTTCCCCATGTGAAACTTCACCTAATTCTCTTACATGCTAAAACTACTCTAGTGTCCGTCTAAGACCCTCAGTTGTAGAGCCCTGCACCATTACAAATTTCTAGCTGTGGATGCAGATATCCACGGACAGTGATCTGTATCTGCTGACTCCCAGGGTTCTACTCCGAAGAGATGCTGTAGCCAATACGGTGCCCCCAAGCACTGCAGAGAGCTCCGACAGCTGGCCAAGAAAAGAGCTAGGGGGAAGAAGAGACTATGCGGACTTGGGGGCTATTTATTTACAAATCTCAAAACAACTGACTCATTCTTCACCAGCCCCCAATCCTTGACGAGCTCTTTTAGGGAGAGGTGTATTTAGTTGGTTGGAAAATTATCAAAGCAAAACACAGCACCATATGCTTAAGTGTCCACTGAGTGCTCCTTTGAATGAATGCACTGCTTCCCCCATCTCCAACACTAGAAGTATGTGGACATTTGTTGAGTTCAGCAATCACCACGTTTTCTTGGATTTTGGAGGGGGGGGGGGGGGGGGAAGAAGAGGAGGACCTGTGCAAGTCTCTAACAAGCTCATAATTATGAGTTGCCTGAATTCAGGTGCAGCCTGATCATTAGCAGAGCTTTACCTAGCTAAAGCGCCAGGATCTTGGGCTGTCTTTGTATGGGTGAGAAACATGTTTCTTGTACCCTGTAAGCTGAGAGCTTGGGTGGCCACCCAGGAGAGATTCAAATGCCACCCAGCCGATTAGCAAAGCGCCCACAGCCGGCACATAACCTTTATTCTGCACATGGATGGAAAAAATTAGAGGGCACATTGACTGTCTCCAACCTGATGCAAATAAAAGAGATTCAAATACGTAACCCCATAAATCAGAGAGTTCGACAGCCCACCACCATTGACAGGCGGCTGTAAGTTCTCCAGCAGGATAGGCACTGAAAACTTTGGCCTGTCAAACACTTTAAAAAAAAGGGTCATGATCTGGTGCTGCTGATGGGGGCCTGACTGACGGCACTGGTGACTAAAGCCCTCTGTTTATCACAGAACAGATACAGCAAAGGCATCTGCGAAGCAAACTTCCCCAACACAACATCCCACCAGCTTGCCTCATGTCAAGAGACCATTAAGGAAAGTATGTCAGCATTTCATAGAATACTAGAATTGGAAGGGACCTCAAGAGTCCAATACCCTGTACTCTTGGTAGGACCAAGCACCATCTAGATCAGGGATGAGGAACCCCCACATTCCTCCTGCACACCAGAGCCTGGTAGGGGTGGAGGGGCAGGCTAGTAGAATGTGTGCTCCAGCCCCATGGGAGAATGACGGGGGGACTCGAGTGCCAGCCCAAGCACCTCAATGTTGGGGTGGAGCCTTGAGCCTCAGGGGCTAGATCCAGGCAAGCTGGGGGCCACATCCAGCCCCTGGGCCTTAGGCTCCCCACCCCTGATGTCTAACCTAAACCTCTCGTGCTGCAATTTAAGCCCATTTCCCCCACAGCTTTTCACATCAGCAGCTGTGGGGAGAAGCAGCTCTGGACTGGAAGGGCCTAACTCACCTAGTTTCACACATACTATTTATGAATACCACCAGAGGTGAGCTAGGCCCTTTACACACAAGTACAAGTACAGGAAGACTGCAACTTCCCAAATCAGCTGCAACATACAGAGGAAGGATGAGGGATGGGATGGGATGCAACAAGCAGCCAAGGATGGCACAGGAAAGTCCAACACATTAACCATGCTGGTTCTGTAGAGTTTTGTGTTTGGACAGTCTCTTCTGTTGGCACTTCTCGGCACAGGCTTCTAGGGATTACAGGCTTGTTGGATGTTGCATATTTTAAGGAGGAGAAGTTGGATGCATAGCAGAATGGGTTTCAGGTTCAGGGGCTATGGACAGGGTAGTAGTGGAGCTTTTGTGGACTGACAGAGCAGAGAAGGAGCTAAGCCTGCAGGAAGGAAGAGCTGTCCCCCCAGCTAACAAATACCAGAAGGCAGCCTTTAACCAAGGCCCACTCGTGTAAGTACCTGTATTTCACATCAAACACCGTCGAGTCTTCATCATCATCCTCATCTTCGTTCAGAGGGGCCATTTCTACTCGCTCAGCTGGTGTTGTGATTATGTCATACTTCCGTGTCTTCTTAATCCTTCTGCCAGCCCTGAAACAGAGAAAGGGGAGTTCATTCTGAAAGTGTTCTCCAGAGGAAGGGCTGGGGTGGGCTATTACCAACCCCTTCTATATACAGCCCAGACTGCTGAGACTTATCCTGAGGCAACATCTGAGGAGCCAGCCCCTCCTCCACGTGTACCCATTACCTAAGAGCTCAATTTCCTGTCAGCGGCAATCCAGATCAGTGTCAGTCTTTTCGTTTCTGAGGCACCAGCCACTGATCCTTTAGTGTGCAGGGCAAATGCGCTGGCACAGCAGTTCAGAGACCCGTGTTGCCATGCTCAATAAGTCAGACAGAGGCTTAATCAGAGGAGGCAGCCGACAGGTTAACTAACATCTTTAGATGAGAAAATCACATCAATCTGGCTGACTCGATGCCTGCCAAGCTGACAGCAGTTCAGAGAAAACTTACAAGATGACTGGGCATCGGAGGTAATATTTATGAGTGGACAATCTCTTCTGCGTTTTCTGGACACCAGGGTGAAGTTTCCAGACACAATACAATACAACCAGTAGTACTGTATTCCTCAATACAACTTGAGGAAATTTATACTCACTACTGTGCAAGCAGTAAAAAAATCATTGGCCATGTTTTAAGATTTAGGTGTAGCCAATGTCTCTTCCCTTAGCATGCGCACAGCCCTTTTGTAGAAAGGATGCTTAAGCAGCTAAGCACAGTTTATTCTTATTAGACTCATTTTCCACCATCTATGTGCATTAGAATAGTATTGACATAAAAAAACAAAATGATGCAAAATATGGTACTTAATTTGACAGCCTCTCATTAACTCAACGCACCTATATTAGAAAGGCTCTTTTTACTCCAGATTTTCCATTAACCTAAGGTCTTGAGCTACCTCACACTGCTCAGACACCTGCCTACGTTTGTGTTGGTTACACTGGTTTGTGCTTCAGTTACATTGTCTTTAACTAAAGAAGCTGTAATATGACCATCTTTTTGGGGAAATGGGGATGGAATGAAGAGCTTAGTATAATTTCTTGCACTCTGGAAATGGTTTATCGAACACAATGCAGAATATTTCTCCTTAAAAATATTTTTAAAAAATCAGATTGAAGGGCTGCAAGATAAGAGGAGAATTTTGAACTATAATTC